ATATGTTATAATTCTACCTTAATTATGTATGTAGACACTATTATTTGACGAATCAAAACAAATGAACCATTGGTACTTGACATTTGTCAAGTTGAAGCAGCCCATCAATTTGTTAAGTTAATAGCATAATCATCAGCTTTAATTATATGTATCAATATTACAATTCTCATTATTTATATATATTTGGATAGTATGATATTCGTATAAAGCGTAGACTAGATAAATGGTACACTTCAGACCAATTATATCATAAAAATTTTTGTGACTATATTGGTTTGAGCAATAAGAAATCTTAATCTCAATTCAAATTGAAGTATCATATCATTCTCGTAATGGGAATGAATACAAACACAAAATCAAACAAGTCGCTCCTAATCAAACGGAGCATATGCAAATTCAGTGATACAAACATTTGTAATCAATGGAAACCTTAAAGCTAATGCATGTACGTGGTTTTACAAAAAAAACATTTCAAAATTTTATACAAAGATTTATTAAATTGAGTAGTGTTACACATTCTATGGATAGTTGTCCCATAATGTATTATATTTTGTTTGTGTTGTATTGTATCGTACAATACTGCTTTAATATATAAATAAAGTGTTTGGATAGATTGTGTCGTTCTCCGTTGTTACACAATGTCATATATTTATGATTTGAATGATGAACTACAAGAAATTATAATGTATGTAATGTTACTATGAAATGATTGGATAAATTATAAAATAAAATTATTAAATAATAAGTAGTGACAAAATTAGAAGAAAATATTAAGGTAACGACGCGATCACACCAAATTAGTCGTTACGGGTCTTTTCGTCATTATGATTAAACAATTAATACAAGATAATTTACGTAACAATCAAAACAAACATTATATTTAAACTAATAATACAAATACAATACAACACAACATGTAACAACCATCCAAACAAGGTGTTAGAGTAATAGGTATCTTTTGAGAACAAAGCTGGAATAGCTCAGTTGGTTAGAGCGTGTGGCTGTTAACCACAAGGTCGGAGGTTCAAGCCCTCCTTCTAGCGTTTAAATTTTCTTTTTTTTCCTCCTAGTCACCTATGTATGATCATTTCCTCTACTATTTCTTTTGTTCTCTATTTGATTTAAGGTTAATGTGTCCAAAATTATATTTTTAGTTGCTTGATATAAGACTCCTTGAACTCAATATATATGAATAATGGCACATAATATTATGATTTAATGCAAATATTGAGTAAAAAAAAAGTATTGTTAACATGTTCTGGTGATATATTCTGATCAATAATAATGTCAAATCGTCAAAATTTACAATTTACAATAGGGGAAATTGCATAGTTAACACTTATAAGATTACACTATGTAAGAAATGATCGAAAATTACAAAGTATTCAAAAATAGTGTTTAGTCACGTTTGAATTAACTTCTTCAAACATGCATTGAACTTGGAAATCACAAGTTAAATTTTTCAAACATAGACCTGAATATGACGTTTGGATTGTCAAAGCCATTTCAAACCCAATTTAGTTTTGCATTTGAATGAAATTCAACTCCTGATATAACATATCTATTTGAATTGATATAATATTAATTGTAGATGAAACATGAAATTGCTTTATGGTCTACAAACTTTGATTACTCGCGTCAATCTAATTTTGCGTTTGAATGAAATTCAACTCATGATATACCATATATATTTGAATTGATATAATTTTAATTGTAGATGAAACGAGAATAAAAATACGAAATTGCTTTATGATCGACAAACTTTGATTACTGAGATCAATGTGATTATGCGTGCTTATAATAGTCATCATTGTCTTATATATTTCAAAGTATTCCTTCCAAACCATCATTACTAAAGTTGGTTCCAATATTAATTTCCCCAAAAATAATTGCACCTTATCATAAAACTAACCATATCTTCACATACATTGCAATGTTATTTGTTACCACTTACCACCAGACTTGACAATTATCAATTTGACTAAAAGTTTAAATATTTTGAAACCACTGCACTATAACTTAAATAACATATGTGGCTATCTAGTGCAAATAGTAGCCATTTCATAAATTACTAAACCCAATGGGCCGTTGTTCAATCAACCAAATCCAGCCCATTATAAAATGTACAGCAGCCTCATCTTTAATACTCCTCAAAACCCTAAAGCTTCTCTTCTTACTCCCGCAAACAAAGCTTTTGGCTCCCACACAAACATCAGCTCTGTAGTTGCCTCTCACTAGCAGGTACTTTCTTCTCTTCAGGTTTTACGGCAAAATTAAATCTTTTTGTAGCAGTATTTCTCTTAGCTTTTAGAAGAAAATGATTAGTTCTATTTCTTTAGCTTTGTGTTGTTGATTTTTGTAAAAGCATGAAATAGATGAATTAAGGCAGAATTTTTGTTGATTTCGAAGAAAGATGGTGTTTTTCCTCGACCCCTTTTGAGATTATCGATTGGGTTTTATTTTTTTATAATGTAAAGACCATTGTGCTGATGTTAAATGTGGTTGAAATGATTAGAATGAGGATTTATATAGCTGAGCCAATATTGACGATTTAATGATGATATGCCGTTTTGTTGGTAGAACTAAGATTAAATATTTGCTTGAATATACAAAAAAATTGTAATTTTGCTTATTTGTACTGGCTCTTACTGATGCTATATAGTTTTTATTTGGGCTTTTCGTTAGTTTCTGTTTTGATTGGTTAGTGAACAGATCTGTGAAGATGTACACGTCGAAGCAAAAGATTCACAAAGATAAAGATGCTGAACCTTCTGAGTTTGAAGTGACTGTTGCGCAGGTTATGTTTTGTCTTACTTGATGGCATTTGTTATTTAAAACCTGAATAGTTCATTGGATAGATGTTTGAAGAAAGGCATTAAATTGATTCTGAACAGGCTTTCTTTGATTTGGAAAACACTAACCAAGAGCTGAAAAGTGAATTGAAAGACCTATACATCAATTCAGCAACGTATGTGTGCTCTATTCTGTATTTAATGGCTTCGATTCTATATTGTAGGTAGTATGTATTTTGCACATTGTAGTAACTGCCTCTTTGACATGGATATTGCAGTCAAATTGATGTGTCAGGAAACAGGAAGGCCGTTGTTATCCATGTTCCTTACAGACTGAGGAAAGCTTTCCGCAAGGTTCATGTTCGCCTTGTTAGGGAGTTGGAGAAGAAATTCAGTGGCAAGGTAGCTATTAATTTATTTCTGTAATTTTTGTCTTTACCATTGCCTTGTAGAATTTCTGAAGAATTGGGTGTAGATCATTTAATCTGAAATGATTACTACATTAGTTCATCCATGGTTATTGAAGCTTGTGGTGTTCTGTAACAGAATTATTCTTCACAGTTCCCATTATTATTTTAAGAATTGATTCCTTCACAATGCTGCACTTTTGGTTTCTACAATGTTTTCCTGAGTTGTAATTTGGCAAAATTGAGTTTACCTTTTGGTATTGGCATTTTGGAATTCACATACTTTGGTATTACCTTTTGAATTATATCTGTGGTGCTATTCTGAGAATAGCATCAGAATTTTCTAAATGGAGCCCAACCTTCCTAATCGTATTCAGTTGGTCATGTAATAATTGCAAAAATATTACATGCCTTGTTAATATATATTGTATATTATTTGCACTATTGTAGTCCCGAATTACCTATCCAAAGTTTTAATATGTAGCACTTAATAGAGCAAGTATTTGATTAGCTGGCCTCCCCTTTTTTAGGGAAACAATGAGGACAAATGTTATTCCCATTCTGAAGCTTTAAATGTGCCATGTATTTGCATTAATTTATTGGGGTAACTTTTCTTGTTTTGTTTTACAATGTAGTTGGGGGGGTTTCTTTGCCTTTGATGAAGTTTTTATTTTTTGTAGGATGTGATCTTTATTGCCACCAGGAGGATAGTGAGACCTCCCAAGAGAGGTTCAGCTGCTCAACGACCCCGCACCAGAACTCTTACATCTGTTCATGATGCCATATTGGAGGACTTGGTAGTCCCTGCGGAGATTGTTGGGAAGCGTACTAGGTATCGTGTTGATGGCTCCAAGATAATGAAGGTAACACTGTGAAGCACCGTAGTTGTCTGTATCTTCCTGATGAAATTTTTACTGCTGTAATTAGGTGGAGAAGTCTTTAGGGTGAAGTAATAGTGCTGCTTGTACATTTTTCACATATGTCAGAACTAAAAACAACTGTGGTTTTCTTTGTTATATCATTTTTAAGTGATAACTTCTGTCATCTTTACCTCTAAACGCACAGCAAGCAAGCTCTATTATTGTTTTCCTGACTCGTTTCTTGTCACATATTTGGTATAGGTGTACTTGGACCCCAAGGAACGAAACAACACCGAGTATAAGTTGGAGACCTTTTCAGCAGTTTACAGAAAGCTCTCAGGCAAAGATGTTGTGTTTGAGTACCCCATCACTGAGGCTTAAGTTAATGTAATGCATGTCCTCGTCTATTTGATGTGAAACTACACATTAGCGGTTCCTCCTTTGAAATTTTGGCAGTTCCATTTTGTTTTAGAATGCAGAGAACTATGTGAAATTCCTATCAATTTTAAGTTAAAACCATGTTGCTATGTCATAGATTTTGGGTTTGTTTATTGAAAACTTGGGTTTCATTCTCTCTCTCTTGCCCTCGCTCTCTCTCCGTTGCTCTATATAGGTAACTGTCGATGTCTATTTTGTGTTGGCTTTTGATATGACTGGTACAAGACTGATTTATGAACACATTCTGGTTATTTGTTACAAAAAAGATCTTCAAACTTGTGTTCCTGGTACAAGTAATTTGTCTGATTACTAATCAGCAAAGGCCAAACAAATGATATTGTTAGTTGTGTGCTATATACCGCTAAGTCCCTGTCGAAAGGATGCCTGCTTGGTTTATAGTCAGTCCACTATAATGCCTATTGTAAGCAACCAATTTACCTCAACAAGGTAGGGTTTAGGTTGCATTATTCCTAGACCCGTCTTGTGAGTATGTATTGGTTGGTAATGTTGCTATTCGTGTTCAGGAACAAATAGCTACTACTTTCCATGAGTGTATAAAACTATTTTAGATGGTTGTCACTTGTCAACTGCCTCTCTCAGTTCCCTTGTCTTCCTCTTTAGAAACACTGCCATCATAATACATATTCTCTTCTCAAATTACAGTCGTGTCTCTCAGTTTACTCTATCGAGATACCCTATTATGGAACGATTCCAGTTTTTCTTTTCTGCTAAATCAAATGACCTTAGTTATTTCGTGACGATTCCTTCACTAGAATATCAATCTATCAAACGAGAATTTAGTATCTTGTGTGCAGAGTGCGGAGGGAAAGACAGTACTTAAGGATGCAACTAATATGCAATTGGTGTAGGAAATGGATTTGATAGTTTCGAGCACAAGGCTTTTAGTACTTCTTAATTACGCCATTCGTAGTAACATAAATTGTCTGCTTAGTTGACTGGGAAACCCGCTATATGGGCAAATTGTTGATAAATTGTGCCAGAGGCTGGAATGTTCAATCATAGAGGACTGAATTGTTAACCTTAACGACGACAAGTTATTAGCAGATCCAGATTTTGTTTACACCGTCAACTGAATTCCTGTAGGGGTGTAAATGTACAGCTTTCACTAGAGCAAGAATGTGCCTAAAATCTTTGTTGATGCATATGAATCATCACATCCCAATTGGACAAATGGTTCTATTTCCTATAAAAGTGAATGAAAGTATATAGTACAATTAATCTACACTTTTAAAAACACTGAAGAAGAAAATATTCCCAAAAACCTACAAAGAAGTCATCTAAGCATAATTTTGGACATTGTGCCCAAAGCCTGTATAATAAAGAATAAAAGAATAAGATTTGACTTGCAGAAAACTTCAAAGGATGGAACTAAACTTTTCGATGGGATCAGACTCTTCAAGCATGGAAGCTGCCTGGAAACAATCAGCAGCATCAGCTACCCGTCCATCGTCTCTATGAACCAATCCCAAGTGGTACCAAGCTACACGATTGGTAGGTTCAATCCTCAACGCATCTGAGAGTAATGCTTTTGCCAATGGCAACATCCCCGGGTCCATTTTAGTCAATAAAGAACCAAGCAAGATCTTACACTGCACATGATTAGGCTCTACTAATAGCGCATTAATATAAGCAGACAACGCTTTGTCGTTTTCTCCCTGTCTTTCAAACATCATTCCTGAAACAGATGGACATAGAAAAATCAGCAGAAGTAATACCCTACTTATCTTATTCTCTCTCATTAAGAAGGAAGCTCTTAGGTATCAATGACAGACAAATATTTTACATGCAAGCAGCCCTATCACACCTCTTAAGTTGGTAATTTTTTATCAGTACTAGACTACTGGTCCAATAGTTACAGCCTATCCACCATAACCACAATACGGAGGGATTCGTTTGGAGAAATTAGCTCTCTTTTAAATGTCAGCTCTTTGCTGACAACGACGTCCGAAAACCAGAAAAATTGTCATCATTTTCCTAGAAATGAGAAACACAACTACAAGTAACCTAAAAAGTCTATTAAAACAGAAGTCTATTAATTATTTTTTGTGCCTATAGTTACTTTTTCTTGCATTACATTTCCATTTTTCAGTTTATTCTTCGTTGGCGGTTTTCTTTGCTATAGCTCACACTTATATTAAGCTCTGCACTTTCTTTGGGTTTTTTACTTTTGACTACTTCGGTAAATAGTGCAAGTGTACAAACACGACTAAGCCTTAATCCTATTTACTAACTAGATGGTATCAACCTATATGAATCTTTACTTCCCAAAAGAAGGCAGAAGAACTTAAATGTAAAGTACCTATAATCTTTCCTGTGTTTCAAACCCTTGAGATTTTATCTCTTTGGAACTCTTGTATTAGGATCAAGTGTGCATCAAAGCTAGTAATTTAGAAAATTCTCAGAAAAAAGCTATAAAAACATTGATGGGACACAGAAGCTAAAGGAGGAGGAAGACAAACATGCTCGAACTTCACAAGGTACAAAGTTGAGAAGCACCATGCACTATCTGAACCCTCACGATATTACTACTACTATAACTAAAATACAATTATATAGGTATTTACACTACTTTCCATGACTAAATAAGGAGTCAAATGTTATGTAGATCTCAGTATCTCACAAGAAACATTGTCTTAAAACATAAGGAAGTCTGAAATTCCCAGTCTAACAGGTTATCTCCCAGGTCATATAAGGTGCAAAGAAAGAAAAAGCTAGATTTTAATTCGAATGTATACGAGCAATTCTATACTTTATCAGAACCCACCAAAGATGAGCAGATTTGCATTGATGAGGTAACTTTCCAAGTCCTGTATAACAACCACTGTTTTCAGTCTATAGTTGCACTCACCTACTTTTACTTATTCTAAATTTGATATCGAGTAAAGAAAACGAGGGAAGAAAGTCAATAATTTTTTTAAGAAAAAACAATAGTTGGATCAGTCATTGTGAGTTAAGTTAATAATCTTGCCTTCTGTATACAAAGTGTCTGCTGAGTACTCGATAAGACCTCTAGCTTTCTCCAAACATGTCTCTGCATCTTTAAAATGTGAAAGGCTAGAATACAAGTCTGCCAGTCCATGCCAAACTTCATATTCATTTACCTTATCTTCCTCCACCTGTAATAGACAAATATAAAAAGTAAATAATTCAATGAAGTCAGAACTAGAAGCATCGTATGAATGGCAAAGCATATTCTGTTGTTTCACATTGAAGTTAAAAAGGTTTCAGTGGTAAGGTACCAAAGTGAGTTACAGATTACGACAGGCAAACATAAACGGGTTTTGTACTGGAAGATGTATTTTTCTCTTCATTTGTAAGACCAATAGAATAAATATTAGAAAGGAATCTGCACACATTCAATCTCATTTTTTGATAACATAAGGAAATCATGATGGAGCTGAATTTAAGTGTACCGAAATACAGAATAGTATCTATAAAGCAAGGAATTGGACAAACGATTCCATTCACCCTTAATTTTTCCCTTTCCACCACTCAGGAAAAAAAACCCACACAAAAAGTCTCAAACCACAGTACCAACATGCACCTTAATAGCCCAAATACAACCACCCTTTTACTGCAGATATGAAAATCAAAGTGTGTGATGATGTTGGATCACAAAAAAGCAATTAGTCTTTCCACCAAGAAAAGCTAAAGGATGTTCATCAGAAAATCATGTCATGGTGGAAAAGATCATAGTGGATATGATGACAACCACTAGACAAGTTTAGCATTGGAAGATGGTCTCAGTACTGGCTTTTCATGGATTTTAGCCCTCTGTTTATGGTTCTGATGATGTTTGCTAGGGTTGCTGAAACTAGAATATGACTTACGAGCCAGTGTTGTTGGTAACTGTGGTCATTAATGACTTCTCAAGGTTGTCATACTGATGAAACAATTCTAGTGCCGAGTGACAGTAATCCCAATGGAGAAACCAGTAGTGGGTGGCAGCTAGTGGTCACATATGGCATAGAAGGGCGAGACAATCTTTGGTTTGAAAAGATTTTATTGATTTGGTGGGAACTTTTTTTTGCATGACAGAATTGTGCTGCTTCTGGGTTTGGCTAACAAGAGAGTCAGGACCAAGTAAATGCTTTAATGAGTTCTTTAATTTTGGGGATACTGGAGGGGTGGAGGTGGAGTCAATAATTGGTTTTGAAAGTTGAAGATATTGAATTCAGAATTAGAATCTCATTGAGAAGTGGTTACTTCTATCCCAGTTCTGAGTTCCAAATGCAGACTATTAGGGGCATAAGTTGAGACACATACGTTTTTACTAAAGTTACTAGATATACAATCTAACCTGAGGCGCATTTCTGAATGGTCCAAAAGATTTTCTTTGAGCTTGAACTAATGAAAGGAGATGACGATAAGGTTCAACGGCGTCTATGTACCGTGACTGGGATGTTTTTAGCTTAGCTTTCATTCTTAGCAAAGGTCCTTGATCCCACTTTGTAGTCTCATCAAAAGCCGCATCAGTAACTACTTCAGCCTCCGAATAGCGATGTTGAGCAGAAAGAACTAAAGCAAGCAGTCTCCAACCTCTTAGAGTAGATCCTCCCGTTGCATCAACATACTTTCTCGCATATTGCAAAGCTGCATCCAGGTTACGGTGCTCTGCATATTGAACACCTAACTCAAACATCAAATCTGAATTTTCATGCTCTAAAGCCATTGCACCATCTAAAGATTTTAAAGCCTCAGATTGAAGTTGTGATCTCTCAAAGTCAGAGGTTGCAACTTTCGCCTGCTTGCCCAAACAAAGACCTAACACGCGGAGACCAACACCTTTCAAGTGTTCATTTGAACCCGCTGCATTAGTTATCGCCCTCTGTGCATACTTAACTCCCTCAGCTGCAAGAAGGACATCCTCAGAACAAATTTTAGAAGCCAACACCAATGAGAGAACGTCATTTGGCTCTTCATGTTTATGCAGAGACTTCCGCAGCAGACTTAAGGCATTTTTGTTCTGTCCAGCCGCAAAATAACAAAGTGCTAAACATCGCCAACGGTCAATCCGGTTAAGTACCCCTGGCATTACTTCTTCAAGTTGCTTAGCCAAAACAGAGGTTTGGCCGCATACAGACAGAGCAAATGTAAGGTGCTCTAGAACTGAAGGGTCCCATTTGATCTTACCAAGGTAAACTTTTCTCATCAGAATCATTAACAGCAGTATTGCTTCTTCTAAATTGTTCCTAGGTACATAAGAACCGTCAATTTGCACAGCTAAGCTTGGTGGGCTAACCTCAACCCCACTATAAAGCAGAAACACAGCAAAAGCTTTTTGAATCCTGGCACAGCAGTCATTATCGAGATTCCATTGGCTTAAGAGGGCACGACGATAGGCAGACATTGCTTCAGAATAGGAACCAGCTTGCTTCCATAGCTCTGGAAGGAGCTCAACAGCATGGCTCACAGTTTCTTGCAGCTTATTCTCCACCAGTACATCAGGTATGCCACTCTCGAATATCTTCTCTACAGCATCAAGCACACTTAGACATTCACGAGCAGCATCTACAAATTCCCAATTAAAGAAACATCTGTAAATGATCAAATCAAAGAAATACCAAATTTTTCATTAATTTATATAGACTATTGAAGGTGCCTTCTACCAGTCAGTCTCCCAAGCTTTTGCAGGGACTTTGCTTTCAAATATATGGCCTCAAGGACCAGACCAGCAGCATGCTGTGAGACACCTGGCACAGACTCAACGCTTTTAGTGCGGCCCTTTTTAGAAGGTTGTTTCTCAGTGACAGAAGGCTGCATCCTCTGTATGGCTGCTTGAAGATCAATACCATCAAACACCCTAAGAGCACCTTCCACATTTCCTCTTTGATATTCCAATCTTCCAAGAAGAGCTCGCGCTTCCTGCGATCAAAACACGTACCTTCATATCATTAAGTTTATGTTGATGACAATAAGAATGGAAGGGATAAATTGATAAAGGAAGAAATAACAGACATTTATAAACTATTACAGCTTAAAGAGATTTCAGGGAAATAAGATGAAATACAATAATTGACTAGCGTTCAAATTTACCAGCAAATTGAACCTGAATCCAAAATATAAATACAATCTGACCAATTCAGCTTATTCAATTGAAGTTTGCAAATCCTATAATGCAGCATAGTTGTTGAACATAATAAACTTTCACAAGAAATATAAAAATGTCACCAGAAGACAACAGATCAGAAAGCTCACAACTCAAAGAAACTTTTAGAGACACATTATGCCTATAATCGATGGAAATCATACAACATATGAGAGCAGAAAGGACCAGATATATGGGAATTTTCAAGAATCTGTCATTTGAAGTCCAAAGAATTTACGTGATAGAATCTGAAACTCATCATCAATGGATTCCTTCAAACATTTAAGCCACCAAAAAAAGAATTCTGCCGGCATTCATGAATTTAATCAAAGAGACCATTCTATCCTAACTTTTACTTCTTTACTTATCACTATGAGTTTGTATAAGCTCTAAGCTTCGTAGCTGCATTAATGAAAATTCAATAGGAATGCAAATAAAAAACATAAACTTTAACAATCACTCACCTCAAAATTGAGGGACAAACCTTCACGCAATGCAGATTCAGCCTCTTGAATGTTTCCCTCATCAAGTTTTGCTTCAACAACATTTGTTTGCATGCAAATCCCATTAGCACAAACTTGCCTAACTGATGGATCAACATCAGCCTGCCCTAATTCTGGTGATTCATTTCCAGACATGTCTGGCCCTCTATGCTCACTACAACAAAAAAGAAAACATCATTCACCATTAAATTTGATCCCTTAGCTTCAATAGCATCAAGAAAATGGTTAATCCCTTTGCCCCATTTTCGTTCTTGATGTTAATATGCACAACAAAACTTCAAATTTACCAACCCATTAGGCGAAAAAGATTCAACCTTATTTAAAAAAAACCGTTTTTGAATCACAATCCTAAGAATTAATATAATCAAACAGTAAGGGGCGCATAAAAAATGAATCTTGAAAATCAAAACAACTGAAAATTCATTATACAATGTATAAGAATCAAGAATTCGAGAAAATGGGAATGGGTATTACCTCAAAATGTTGTTGATTTTAGTGGCAAATAAATGGTTAATTGTTTAAAACAACGAAATGGGTGAAAAAATTTCTGGATCAAGAAAAAGAGAGAGAGAGAGAGGAGAAGAATTTTGGTGACAGCGTTTTGACTTATTACTCGGAATATCCTATGAAAAGAAAAAACAACAAAACAAGACAAGTACTCACGGTTCCGGTTTTATATTACTCCATTTTAGAGTTACCGCCGGCGAGATTTATTTTAAAACTACTACTACTTTTTATCCTCTAATTTTGTTTTTATTTTTTTATAATCCTGATCTTCCAGTAATTTATCTGTCAAAATAATCTATCAAAGTTAAATATATGATAGATATAATTACTCCTATTGAAATTTAAATTTGATAGGTGTGTAGCCTCATTTTATTGATTATTAGATTATGTATATATTAATTGAAGAAATGGAGAAGTAACACATTTATACTGTACTAAAATCAATATTACACATGAATTTATTTTATAAATAATTTTCTACTCTTTTTTGGTCTACGTGACATTATCTTGTGGTCCAATACCTGTTAACATTTTTCTTCAAGCTAGTGTTGCGTAGGTCGAAAGGGAATATAAAATTATTTATAAAATAAATTTAGGGGTAATTATTCATTATTATAGTATAAGTGTGTCTCTCATATTTTGAACATAGATTGAAGGAATTTATATAATTTTTCTAATTTATATATGATAAAATAATAAATTAAGATAAGATTAGAGTAGATGTATAAAAATATATACAGTTCTTAAGAATCCAATTTCGGATGTCACGGTACATTTTGTATTTCTTTATAGGATTTTAAATTTATACGAGTACGTAGACATAAAAACAATTACTCCTATATTTGTATACATGTGTAAGTAATTTTTTATCAAGAGAATTATATGAACACTTTCTCATCTTTCTACATTCATCCTTACATATATTTGAGTCATTAATCTTTTTCAAAATAACAGGTCATGATACTCTTTTTATTTTTTGATATTTAATTTAAGATTCACCGATTATAAAACCTATTAGAGAAATACTCTTTACGGAAATTTCTTTTCATTTTTTTATAATTTAAAACTAAAATCTATTGTTAAGGCGAAACTTGAAAGATTTCATTTATTTCACCGTAACACATTATTTTTAGGGAAATTTTTAGCAATTGTCCTTTTTGAAAATAGTTATGAAGTAAAAAAATTATTTAAAACAAAAAGAAAAAATCTCTTATCGTTTGGCATTTACGGACCTTTTCTAACATCTACTTAAAAAAAAATTCTTTAGGTAAACTGAATTCAAATGGTAAGTTATTACAAATGGACAATAATGTGTTATCAAATAAAATTGACCATTAGACGAGTGATAGATCCAAATATAAAACACATTATTTTTTCTAAATTAAAGTTATATTTGTAAACCTTTTAAAAATAAATTTTAACCCCCAAAAAGGGGAAATGTGTGTAAATCAACCTTACTTCTATATTTGTTTGTTTGTACTACATAGAATTGGGAAGTATATATTAATGCATTCCCCTTACTATACTCCTAAAATGCTCTGTAGTTTATTCCTTATAATAAAGATTGTTAGAAAAAAACAATTGGGTTGTTAACTGGGCACATGCGTTTGCTTCTAAATTTGTCCGAGCTGTTGATCAAGAAATTAAATATTCTTTTGGCGTAAGAAGCGGAGTTAAGTGGGGATTTATGAGTTCGAATGAATATAATAATATTTTTGTAGATTCTGTATTTTATACTAAAATTAATTATATATATATATATATATATATATAAAGTTATTAACTTGTGAACCTCTAATAAAATTAATTGATTACTCAGTTTCGGTGACAAGGAAGGGACCATAAAAATACTTTTGCTCTCTACTTATTTGTATATTTTTATTTATTTATTATATTAATACGATAATATAAGTTAAAACGATCATATTTCATTTCTAAATTTTTTCAATCCCATTCATACTATTTTACTTTTTCATATCATTTTATATATTGAAAATAAATTTTCACTTTTTATTTATTAGTTTTTTAGTTGTCATGTGATACTAAAAAGAAGAATATACTTTAATATTTGTGATATATATATGCTGCACTGCATTCAATTCATATGTGTCAGTCATAAATTAAGTCATTGAGATACTATAAGATAAACTCAACGTAACGCCACCACTATTATGAACATGTATGGTAACAATATTTATTTTTATATTGTCTATATAAATAAACAAGGGAGAGTAATGTCATTTTGTAAATTTAAATGATTTCAATTCTTTTGGATTGAAGGGGTTTGAATCTCATTCTAAAGGGGAGGCAGGTATAGTTTGTGTAACATCGTAAATTCCATGAGGTTAGGGTTATAAATAAAAATAAAATTTAAGAAAAGATCTTTGATAAATGTTGGTGTAATATTTTAATATTAATAAAAATATATTATATGTCACATTATATATCATGTATTATCTATTGATGGACATGATATTTGTGCCTTTTTACTCTCATCAAAAGAAGAAAGTGGTCATTAGTAACTTATGTAATTAACCACCAATTATATTCTTCATTTCATCCATTATTCTATATATATGTCTTGTAACTTATGTAACATTTGAGTCATTCATTTAGTAAATTAGTACCCACTATTTTGCTATTCATTGCAAGAAAGAATTTATCAACTATAAATAATGTAATATTCCTTTAATTTGTGTTGAGAGAAAAGAAATAACAAGATACGTACAGAAAAATATAGAGTGAAAAAAATGAGTAATATTTGTTATGTTTATATCGAACCTAATGTAGTAGTGAAAGAGAAAGTTGAGACAAAAAATAATATACTAAGTTTTAAACTATTTTCGCACATACAAAAGAGAGAGTATTATGAAACTTTAGACTCTTCAATTAAATTTAGAGTTGCTTGAGTTATACATGTTATTGGGGTGTTGTATCCTGGAGGGGACAAGTCAAGAGTATTATTGCTAGATCGGTGTAGATTACGCTGCACTGGGCTTGAATCTTCTTAAAGAAAGCAAAATATTCGTGTCTCAGCCTAAATATTTATTTATACATTTTTATTCATTTTATTTTAATAATAATTTATTATATTTGTTGTATATTACACCAAAAATAAATATAAAAATTTTATACTAATAATTATTGACATATGTGACAATCATCATCATCGATCAATACTATTAGTTGTAGTTCATCCCAGACTTCCACTTTCGAAGAATGTGTTGTAAGTTACCGTTTTATAGCTGACACGTTATCAAATCATCTATTGAGTCCCATCTGAAGGAACCTTCGAAAAAAATAAAAATAAATTAGTTTAGATTAATTAATGTCTTACACGTAAACATTGATGTGTAGTTTTGAAGTTTATAATCGAATATTTGGGCTTTGTGCATTTTACAAAGTATCAAGATGAGAGTTGCTTACTTGAATTAACTAAGCGTCTCAATTTTCAAGATAGTGACAAGTCTACGTACATTTCATTTTCTCCGAATCCGACTGTGTTGTATCTTTATTTAGAAGAATAGAGCATCAACATATATGGCTCATTGTTTAATGATCGAAACCAACATATGAAGACCCAATACTATATATTTAAAAAGCTTTTCAACTTAATATTCAATACATCTGCGTTCTAACATAATATTAATATTAGTACGTCTACTTTTAGTACTTTTATTTTATGTAAATAGTAGTACAACACCTAGTATAAAACTGGTGCAGACAGAGATACAGAGAGTACTAAAATTGGCAGATAAATTAGAACACAGATATAATGCTGATAGATTCTCATGAAATATATGATCATGTTAGTGTTTTTTTTTAAATTAACACCTGGGGTATGGAACGCCGCAAGAGCGAGCAACTTTCTTGGCACCAGGAGAGTTAACATACTTCTTTAAAGTTGGGTTCTTGAGGTATTGGCAAAGACAAGGCTTTTGTTGTTTGATTTTGGTGCAGCAGAGTTTAGATGGTGGTGATGATGATCTGATAGCACCCAGGCAGGGACTTAGCTGAACTGGGCTACATGTTGCAGCAAGTGAGATATGTGATTCACCAAGAAGCATAAGCACTAGCATTGCAACAAGCATAACTTTTGATTCTCTCTTCATTCTCAAGTGTTTGCTTATTAGTATAATGAGAAAGACTTGATTGATGAGTTTCAGTTGGTTTAGCATTGGCTCAATTTATACAGGAGGTATTGGTATAACAACCACAACAATATAAACAGTGTAATTCCATAAGTCGAGTCTGAAGAAGATAGAGGTTATTTTTAAAAGATACTCTGATCGACTTTAAGAAAATTCCTTGGTTGTAGTAGTTGTGCATGATGTTTAATTACCTCAAACTATATATGATTACTAAGATTATGGTGTCCCACCAAATCCAAAAACCAAACTCACTAGTTACCAACACACGCATGCAACCATATCATGGTGCATTGTCCAAATATTACCTACTTCTAAATATGTATATTAAAAGAAAATGGAGTTAGAATTTGAACTTTATAACTTCTAAAATTTTAATATAGTGACATCAGTTGTTAGTAACTAAATTTTGAAAGTGATTTATTATATTTATTTAATAAATTTTTTAATATAAATATATTATAATATAGATCAAAAGTTACTGAATTCAAATAAAATTTTATTTAAGCTACCATTTTATATAATGGAAACAGGTGTAAGTCCTACGAATTCAAGTTTATTAGTGGGCTGGACCACTATAACTGATTATAATGTTTGAATTGTAGTCGTTATTGTTGGCCTCCAAACAGTATATAGGATGATATTTTTGCTCATACAGCTTGGCTCGATTTACTAATAAATGATTTATTTATTTTTATAAGAGAAAAAAGATAAATATACTTATAAATTATTGTTACTGATATGCATATATTTTTCATTATGTTTTCGGAATATTGATGCCTCATTGTCCAAAAACTAAAACATATATATCATTTATACTAACGAACATAAACGTCTCATAATCTTATCCATCGACTCGACATTTATTAAATATTGAATTGACAGATAAGATTGTGTAACGTGTTCTTATTTCGTTTTTCGTTAGAGTGAAACATATATATGCTCTAATTTTTGGATGACAGGAACACCAATGTCCCAAAAGTATAACGGAAAGTGATACCTAC